TAAGTTGATCCATCACGCTTCCGCGAGCTTTATAGACTCTCACACGGTGAGTCTGCAACCGCAGCAGCTCATGGCTCTTCGGCTTCCCTGGCTATTGCCGAAAAGCGCGGTGCGTACGACGACGCGGAACGTCATGATCCCTCTGATCATAAGCGCTAACGACGTCTGGTTAGTCTTGCCAAAGTGGCACCTGAAACTCCCACGAGTTCTCAAATTCGGGGTATCCCCGCCACATCACAAGATACTAGGTTTCACCCTGGCGACGATGTCAACACACAAGACATTCCACGTGGAAGTTGACACCACCATACTCTACGAGAAGAGTCGGCGGCGGCGGACGACGACTTTGTCGATCGCTGTCCGGTGACTATCGATGATCTTCGAGCTCTTGAGGACGAGTTCCGTCGCTATAGGGACTCTGTTGAGCGTCATGCTGGGTTCGCATACCGTTGCACGGAAGCTCTAGAAAGCTTGAAGCACCTTGTACACCGGCTGCCTCACATTAAAGACTATCGCGCTCTGTCGGAGCGGATCTTAGCCGTTGAGTAGACAAATGCGTCGCTTCATTTGAAGATGGAGCTTTTGGCGCTGTTGGAGATGGAGATCGTTGCACTCCGTGCTCCAAACCCGTTACTGGTTAAAATTTCCGGTCAGTCGAGCGCATGTGGGCGCCCCGCATTCACTTTTACCGGATTCCGGTACAGCTGAAGCAAATACACATACAATACCGGGTAGGTGCGCATCCGTTTCGGAAGGCTTAGCGAATACACAAGGCTCCGCTTGGCCATACATTTGAAAGGTCCGATAAACTGCAGACGGAGTTTTGTTCTTATAACAGCATAATTGCATAAGCAGGAAGGTTTTTAGCATTTAATAAAATCATGTCTCTGTCCTCAAAGTTTTTAATCTTTCCTCTGACTCTTCCATCTGCATATTCCTTTTGCATGTCTCGGCTTTCAGCCATCGCATCACAAACGTGTCGTACTACCATCAGTCTGGTAGGCAGGAATGCATCGACTTCTTTACGAACAGTAAGAGGGTTGACATCAGCTAACCGTTCGGCTATCCCCCCACCAAACCCTGAGCCATGGGGTGGCGGCGTCAGCGGGACGCGAGGATAAACGAGCCCGTTCACGTAGAACGGCGTGTAGCCTGTACACAAATGCACTGCATTGTTCAGAACGAACTCTACGAGTGACAGCATGGCGCTCCAGCGCCTTGGCATCTTAGCGTAAAAGCTGCAAAGGACGTCTTCGACGATGCAGTTCACGTGATTAGTGTGACCATCAGTCTGCGGATGGTCCGCTTTTGACATAGTCAACTTGGTGCCCAGCACCTTATAAATCGCCAAACAAAACGTCCCAGTGAAGTGTGTGTCTCTGTTAACGACAATTAACTCTGGAAGTCCCTGTTGTCGAAAGACACGATGCACATACAGCGTCGCTAAACCGACACCGTCGATGGTGTCCGGCACCACCGCAAGAATGAACCGTCTCGCTCAAACGGTCGACGAGGACCACGAAACACGTGTTGCCCGCCGAGTCCCTTGGACGGCCAAACACAAAGTCAAAACTCATGAACTGTCAACACACGGAAAGTACCGGCAAGCTGGCCAGGGGCACCGCCGCATTCGGATAGAACTTTACCCTTTGACACGTCTCACACGTGCGCACATATGTGCTCGTCCATTTGTACAGCTTGGGCCACCAGTAGCAGCAGCTAAAAGAGCTGTAAGTCTTTTCGCGACCAAGATGACCACTGAGTGGGGTGTCGTGGGCCTCATAGAGGATAAAGTAATTCAAATTCCCATCGCGAAGAATCCCTTATTTGATAAATATCAGTGCAATCGTGCGCGCAGTCGCGACAACTTCTTGTCCGAGTTTCCCGAGAGCCCCGTAGCAGCGCTACACACATACCATCACCCGCGTACGCGTTCGAATCAATCCCGTCACTGACGACATCACCGTCGTGACATGAGCAAGTTTATGATCCGGTTTACGTGACAACGCATCAGCCAAAGCATTCTGCTTTCCTGACTTATACTTCATCTCGCAGTTATATTCTGCAAAGAACGTGAGCCATCTGGCCATTCTCTACGAGAGGTGAGGCGATTGAGTCGCAGTGCGTAATGACGCATCATCTGTGTGGGTCACAAACGGCTTGAAGCCGAGCAGCTAAACTTTGAACTTGACAAGTGCATACTTCATCGCAAGTAATTTTTTTATCGTGAGCCGGGTAGTTCTTCTCTGCAGCCATGACCTGGCAAGATTCGAATGCGATCATCCGATCTCGCCCCTCGGCGTCTGCTTGCAGCAGTGCGTAGCCGATGGCAAAGCCCGATGCGTCACCGACGACACTGAAAGGACGATTGGGAACCAGTATTGATGCATGAAGGAGGCTGTTTTTCCCCGTCAGAACTCGGTGTTGCAACACCAATCCGCACCCTTCCTAAGGAGATTCGACAATGGCCGTGCCATTTCTGCGTAACTCTCGTTGTACCTGTGCAAGTAGTTAGCGAGGCCAAGCCATTTGCGCAAGTTCTTTTGGTTCTTTGAAACCGGCCAGTCCACAATGGCCTTATCCTTATGCTTGAAGGCCACGCTTAGCGATGAAGCATCCTAAAAAGGGGATTTCTTTGGCGCGAAGATGCACTTGTCTGCATTAGCATACAGCTTATTCGTGCTCATGCACTCGAGCACTGCGTTTAAATGGACATTGTGATTTTTTTTATTCGCCCCCGTGCTCCGCATGACTGTGGACGAAGATGTCTTTGAAGTATGTCTGGACATACACCTGA